CCCCCCCCCCCTGTAGCGTCACGCTACATACACACACGCTCATGCGATGACCACGGACACCGAGAAAAGATGATTGACGGGTGAAGGAAAACACCGTGCTATCTCTCTCGCTCCAATATTGTAACGCGTATATTTTGAATTAATTCCGTCTACGGAATTTCTTTCTACCTGCGAATTGAGGCCAACCAAACAACAGCTTCAAGCAGTGTTACCAGATCGTGACGTCACCCCATTTAAAATTGTACAGGTTTTGGCTATAAAACGCCGAAATCTGGCAACCCTGGCCTCAAGCAGTCAGTCATCTACTGACCTCCTAGTGGATCACAACACATTTCTTTACTTTTGTATATATATTAACGTCTTTTATTAAACTGTGATTTATTTAACTAAATTGCAAGTGTTAGTGAATTGTTACATCCTTCAACAACCTCGATCCCTACATTGGTAACCCCGACGTGATATAATTTGGGAAATTCGACGTTTTAAGCAACAGAAGTAAAAATCTCGTGGCGTCGCATGCATTTATCATTGAAAGTTTTATTCGCGCATCTCAGTGATTAACTTCCATCCTGGTGAATATTTACGCATCTAAGGCTGTTTAGTGCCACACAATCCGCGAGTTCAAGTGCTGGATTTAATTCCCCGCGATTGAAAAATCGTAAATTTCGTCGTGTGGGTACACAACGGCATTCTCAAAACGGCGTCTCGTGAGTTCTAGAATATTTCACGCATCGGAGCGCCGAGCCTTGGTTGCGCAATGTCTTCACGAAAACCAAAACAAATGCCAGTGAATATGCTATTTTTGTTTTTCACACCGACACATTGCCGAGTGTCACCAAAGACGTTGTACTGTACTGGTGATAACAAGGACTTATAACGACTTAAAATGCCGCGATTCACATTCTTCGATTTTAGTCCGTTTCGAATAAAATGTGAAACAATGATACCCGCACAAACAGCTACAGTAACGACGGGACATGACGAGCAGCTGGACAGTGGCACTCAGGCATGAGGGAGAGACGAAAGCAACCTCATGCCGAACTACTCCGATGACAGCGTTGAGAACATCAGGCCAATGACCTCATCTCCGCTAAAGCATCGTCGAGAATCACATACAAAATTCAGGTAACATCAAATCTACCACCAGGAGGACCAAACACTCCGTTGGTACGAGACTTTACACAGCGAAAATGGACACAGCATCCGCGGCCCGGGTTAACGAGGCTGGTAACGTCACCCGCGTTCCCTTCGCACCTAAATTCGTCAACAGGATTAAACGGGCAATTGGGGAGCTGGACTCGCCTTCAGTCCGCAGCGATATCGAGGAATGAGGGCGAAAAGAAAGTAACCTCATGGTGAACTTCTCCGATGGCAGCGTCGAGAACACCGGGCCGACGCACCGAGCTCATGTCCGCCAAGCATCAACGAGAATCTCGCTCTTTGGAATACGCGACGTCACATCGACGAGCGAAAGAGGTCTTCACCAGAGCATCCACCACTCTGATACACATCATCGAGGGACATCCCACACACCTGTATACACACGCATCCCTAGCAGATATCATCGAGCATCACCGTGGAATATGCAACGTCACGTCATGCGCCTCCGAAGAACGTTGTCGCCAGAGCATCTTCACTCTGATACGACAAGAGGGCCAATACACATTCACATGCACCATCGCAACACACGGCGAAGGCAGACACACAAATCCAAGCTCTCGCGGTCATCCCGGGCATCATCAACAATAACAACAGCCGCTGCTGAGCACTAGCAGTACAGTCAATACTGGGAGGGAGGAACAAATGCGTAACATTCGCACATCTTCTCCCATATATCAACTTCTTTTCATTTTTTTTTTCATTCAAAATTGACTCTTTTTTTTTTACATTCAAAATTAACTCTTTTTGCTTGAAATTTTTCATTTTTTTTTCTCCCGCCTGCTAAACTGATAATTCATCTGATATTATTGGCTTCCGGATGGATGCCGCGTTTGGTTTCAGCATTGCGCCGACGTTTCACAAACATTGCAGTCTGCATCTTCAGGCCTGTGAGCTCCGATTCTGAGCTCCGATGTCTGAGGATAGTCGTCCTTTTATACCTTCCCCTGTGATGGTGGGGGTAGGGGAAGGGGGGGGGGGGGGGGGTCAGCCAATCATATTTTAATTGATCAGCTGATCAATTAAAAAACCGGGAGGGCGGTTTTTCAAATAGGGTGCACTTGATATCCTCTCTCCCTATTGATGTTGTTAGGGTTTTTGTAGATCCCCAAGCCTTCTCGATATTTCCTTTCGAAATATCCTTGAGACTTGGCCAACATTCTGGCTTGATCGTACTCGATCCTATGTCCAGTGTCCATCCAATGTTTAGCAAGTGCAGACTGTTGTAAGTGGCCGTATTTGCAACACCGTTGATGTTCCTTGATCCGTGTATTGATCTACCTCCCGGTTCCACTAATGTACACTTTTCCGCATGAGCAGGGGATCTCGTACACTCCTGGGGTACTCAGAGGCGGTCTGCGATCTTTCGCACTCGGTAGCATCTGTCCAATCTTCTTTGGGGGTTGGAAGATTGTTCGGATGTTGTGTTTGCCGAGTACTCGGCTGATGCGGTCAGTGGTGCCTCTCAGGTAGGAGAGAAGTTTAGGAGGACTTTAGGTTTTTCCAGATTTTCTTCAGGATTAATCTCCTCTTGAGGAGATGAGAGCTTGCTCTGTAGCTTTCGCTCGACCTTTCGAATTTGTTAGATGTTATATCCATTCTTTGTCAGAGCTGTCTCTAGATATTCAACTTCGCTGTTGACGTTGGAGGGTTGGGAGATTGTAAGAGCTTTGTACATTAGGGAGATAATGACAGAGTTCTTCTGGGAGGGGTGGTGATGGGAGGCGGCATTGAGGTACCTGTCTATGTGGGTCGGCTTGCGATATACTTGATGACCCAGAGTGCCATCCTCATTGCGACGAACCAAGACATCCAGAAATGGGAGGCATCCGTTCTGTTTAATTTCGATGATGAACTTGATGCTCGGGTGCTGAGGATTTAAGAACTCCAGGAATTGGTTTAGACCAGTCCTCCCATGTGGCCAGATGACAAAGATATCGTCCACATACCTGAACCACACAGCAGGTTTCTGCGCTGCTGACTTCAAAGCTTCGTCCTCGAAGTGTTCCATGAATATATTTGCAATGACGGGGAGATGGGAGAACCCATTGCTGCTCCTGATTTTTGCTCATAGAACTCTCCTTCGAACTGGAAGTATGTGGAGGTCCAGCAGTGCTCAATCAAGGGAAGTAATTGGGGAGAGATATCGTTGGACTCCTTGATTAGTACCAAGGTTTCCGGGATTGGGACGTTGGTGAAGAGTGATTCTACATCAAAACTCACTAGGATGTCGTCTGGAGAAGTCCTGAGATTCTTCAGTTTGTTGATGAAATCTAGCGAGTTCTGTATGTATGAACCATTCAGGCCAGTTAACTTTTGGAGTGGTTTCGTGAGGAACTTGGCCAGCTGGTAAGTTGGCGCTCCAATGTTGCTGACGATGGGCCGGAGAGGAACAGACTCTTTATGGATTTTGAGAAGTCCATAGAGTCTAGGAGGGAAGGATTCTTTGGGAGTGAGGAATTTTGTCGAATCAGCTGAGAGTCCAGCCTTCTTCAGGAGATCAGTAGTTTGGCGCTCAATAGTACAAGTAGGATCTTTCCTGAGCTTTGTGTAAACTCTGGAGTCATCCAACATCGCGCAGAGCTTTCCGGAGTAGTCGTCCTTATCCATAACCACCGTGGCATTGCCTTTGTCTGCCGGAAGAATAATGAGATCATTATTCTCCTTTAGACTACGCAGTGCAAGACGTTCCTCCCTAGTAATATTGTCACTAGAGGGAGTAGCTTTGTACAGGACGTTGGACAATTGCCTCCGGATTTCATCACTGGTCTCCTGAGGAAGATGGTAGATCGCTGTTTCGATCCGACTAATAATTTCCTCAGTAGGGATCTTTTTGGGGGCAACAGCGAAGTGGTGTCCTTTCGCCAACACAGACACTTGTGCTTCACTGAGCTCATATTTGTTCAGATTCTTCGCAGTGTGGGTGAGGGTCGGGACTTTCTCCTGGGGGAGCAGCTTCTTGAACTTACTCTTCTGATTCTCGATCCTCATCTCGGCTGTTCGGACTGCTTGTTCATGTGTAACACGATCAAGAGTCTCCCACAGCTGAGAATCCAACGTCTGAGCCAGAAGATTCTGAAGATCGAGAAGCTGTCGGTAGAGATTGGCCAGGTTCTTCTTGGCCGCTGCAATTCTCTCCTTGACCAGCCCCAGTGAAGCCTGGCGGAAGATGGCATTTGCCTGTCTCGAGGGAATAGGGTTCCTCAAGCGGAGGAATTTTGGTACCACTTGATGGTCACGGCACCTTTTCAAAAAAGTGAGGGAGCACAGTTGGACGTGCAAGTTTGGTGAATAAATTCACCGATCCAAGAATACCCTCTCCGTGGAGGCGTTTAATCTTAGTTTTAAGGCTTTCGCGGTCATGATTAATGACATTATTGGCTTCTGGATAGATGCCGCGTTTGGTTTCAGCATTGCGCCGACGTTTCGCAAACATTGCAGTCTGCATCTTCAGGGCTGTGAGCTCCGATGTCTGAGAGTAGTCCTTTTATGCCTTCCCCTGTGATGGTGCGGGTAGGGGAAGGGAGGGGAGGGGGTCAGCCAATCATATGTTTTAATTGATCAGCTGATCACAGCCCTGAAGATGCAGACTGCAATATTTGCGAAACGTTGGAGCAATGTTGAAACCAAACGCGACATCCATCCGGAAGCCAATAATGTCATTAATCATGACCGCGAAAGCCTTAAAACTCAGATTAAACGCCTCCACGGAGA